CACAAAAAGGACAAAGGAAAGGTAATATTGAAGCCAGGCCTGCTGAAGCATTTGCTGCTCAACTTAATACCTGCTCCCTGCTCAGCTCTTTTCACATATCTGGAGCCATGGACAATACACCAAAGCATCCCAGCTCCAGATGCTCCCCTTGATGCCCTGGTCCCTGTCTGTGCCTCGCTGTCTCCTCCTCAGCATGCAGAGCCACGGCCAGCCACGGCACATTTGGAAAGGATGAGAGATGTCTCAACACTACAGTTAAACACCTGCATCCCAGCCAGGTTGGTTCTGAGCCCTGGCCATGCTGCAGGGGTTCCCCAGCTCCCTCCAGCTCAGGACCTGCTCTCCAGCCAGCTCTGCACTCTCCTCCCACAGCTGCCAGGGATCCTGGTTCCGCTGCGCCGGCACCGAGACCTCCTCTGCTCCATGGGGGAAAGGCAGATTGATAATTAAATCCACTATTGAGATATTCACATTCTGTTCCCTTGCCATTTAAGCAGACATAAAACATTTTATTATTCTGCTGATTTAGGAACCTGAATTTAAATATTAGAGTATTAAAGCGATACTTAATTAGTTGACTGAATGTTCTCCCTTTTATCAGTGTTGACAGATCTTAATTATAGCATGGGCTGTGAAAGCTGATAGAACAGCTGATGGCAGCAGCACCGCCAGGAATACTAAAGTGTGTCAGAATTACTTGTCTGTTTTCCCTCTTCCCTCTTGCTCTGTTCTTCAGGCATGCTCTGAAGTCCTTGGCAAATAAAGCCAATGCTGCGGCCAAGCCTGAGCAGTTTGGCATTTACTCTCAAGGACATGAGAAACTGCTTGCCCTTGAGAGAGCCAGGATAATCTACAGGCACAGACTTTTGGGGGGGGGGGGGGAAAAAGACGGGAAATTATCTCCTAGTAAATCATTTCCCTATTCACTAATCAAGCAGACACAGAGATTATCGTGGAGCAAGAGTGCTGACGTTAGTTATTCACTTAAGCCACACTTTAAAATGCAGTTCAGACGTACAGGAACGGTCAACCCAATGAAACCTGCCCTTAAGGCTTTCAGCTGCCATCATCCTGACAAGCCCATGCTGCAGTGGCAGCAGGGGTGGCTCTGAGAACCAGCCATGCCAGGCAGATTGAGGCACACCCCTGGTTCCTGTCACCTCAGCCAATGCCAGCACAAAGGGGGCACTGCCCTGTTTCGATGCCACCAGGAGAGATTGAGGGTTCAGCCTCATTTACAGCAAGGACTGTGCTTGTTCCTCTGCCACAGCACAGCAATGAGGGCTCTGGCAGGAGGCTTCTGCTGGGGTGAATTACATCCCCCAGCAGCACATCCTTCACCTTCCTGGGATAATAACAAATGTCCACCTTCAGGGAAGGTGGCTGGCAGCAAATATCTCGTGAAGAACACATCTTTTACCTACTCCCTGCAGAGGCCAGGCCATTCACTCTGAAGCAGCAGCATTTAACACAGCTCAGCATCAGAGGCAGCAACAAAACATAGCACATGTGAGAGGAACAAGGAAATGACAGCTTGGGTTTGGGCTGGGAGCCCGTGAAGTTGGGCTAGTCGCCTGTCTTGGATTCCTGACTTGCCAGCCCACTTGCCCAAAATCTATCCAGCTCAGCCTAAAGCAACACCAGTGTCTGAGTTTATTTTTTCTAATTCTTTCAACTCAAATTACGAGTTCTGAAGCTTTAATTAGATCCTGGCATCCCACAAGGCTCTACCAGAAGAAATTCACTTTGCCAGAAAAGATGTTCGACCCCATTCTGTCCCCAAATGCTCTAAGTACAGCAAATACTGTCCCCTTTGACTGCTCAGGCAGGGATGGGGAAAGATCATTGTGCTCCAGTCTCATTTCTGCAAGTTCACTTCAAAGAAACCAGCAGAATACAACCTGCTTACATTACATTGCTTGCAGAAAAAAAATTGCTATGAAAAATGTGAAGAAAATTGGGTAGGAGCAATGTGTTGGAGCCAGTTGTCTAATCAGCTAAAGTTACAATCCTAAACCAGTCCCTAGATACCAGAAATACAGCTCAGTTCTCTAAAGTGCTGAGTGTTGACTGCATTTCAGCTCTGCATCCCCACCCAGAATACTTCAACATTATTAAATCACCCAGATACAATTTTATTCTGGGAAAAAAAGTGTGGTAAAAATAGTGAATAAAATCAGTAATTTTCATCAGTTTGTGTATCCTGCCGTTAGCTCCTTCCTTTTAAGGCTGCAGAGAAAGAGAAGTTTAAATCCCAGTGGTACGCTGATGCTTTATAAGTTATTCCAGCATGAATGATCTCAACCTCAGGAACGATGTGTGCAAGCACTGCCAGAGCAGAGAAGACAGGCATGGAAGAACAGCCCCTTTGTTGTCACGATTCAGGCATGTGATGGGTTGTGACACCTTTTCTGCAAGTGCCATCCATCACTCACAGATGTTAGCACAGAGCCACGCTACCTGCTCACCAAGGAGCTTTTGATTTCCACTGCCAGTCACAGAGGGAAACAAGTGATTATTCCTGCCTTTTTGCAAAGAGATAAGAAATAACTTTGCACTTTGCACATCACAGTGGGCAGGCAGAGGAACTCTGCACTGGCTGAAGGCACTGCTCTGCAGCCCTGTGCCATGGCACTGATGCCTTGCTCCCTGTCAGGACACCAGGACCTTGTCCCTGCTCTGGCCATGGCCAGCACTCTCCAGGAGCTTAGTGAGGAATGCTGCCAGCACAGCCAGTGCTCAGACCTGACTCACATCAGGTTTTTTTAGTTTATAAATTAATCTAGCTGGGGGAAGAAGTACCCAGGCTGCATCCCCTGCCACTGGCACTGCAGCAGCGGGGCTGGATCGATAGGGCCTGCCTGGCTCCTGTCCTTGCCTTTATAAACACACTTAATGATCAGCAATGATGTCTTGGCAGCCTCAGCCTCTCTCACTAATGCCCATGTGCTAGGAGGGCATTTTGCCTGCTCTCAGACAAGCCAATCCCGTTTAACAGGGCAGAGATTTAAGAGTGGCAGCCTGCACGGCGCAGCCGAGTGCCAGGCAATCCTCTCGCTGCAGCAGCCAGGCTCCCTGCTGCCACAAAGCTTCTCCACCTAATGAACCTGCCTCCCAGGGAGGGAAAGGCATCGAGGGGACAGCAGCTTTCTGGAGTCCTGCTGGTGCTGGCTCACAGCAGCCCTTTCTGACAGGCAAGGAGACATTTGCTGCCTCTCTGCTCCCCCACGCCGCGACCAACAGGGACAGGCAATGAGGTAATTTATCTAGTTGAGCTTTGCAGGACTGTATGCCAAGGTAGAATCCTGCCCCGGTGATAAATCCACCCACATATGGATTCAGCACAGTGTGCAGGCTGCAGGCAACAGGCAGGCAGCAAGGGAAGGGGTCTGCCTGCTCCCAGCCCCCCTCCATTCACCAAGGACACCCTGATGCTCAGGTGTTGTTATTCTCCATCAGGTCCTGGGTGAAGCCCAGTTTTACCAGACCCATGAAAAGGCAGCAGCACACAGCTGCCCCTGGGCTGGGGTTGCTGGCACTGAGCTGTGACCAGTTTGCACTGCTGGCAGGGGTTGTGGCTGGCCAGCCCCCCAGTTTCGCTCACGCGAGGGCAGCCTCTGCCCACCTGCCTGGAGGATGCTCAGCGCGTGCAGCTGCAGCTCAAGGGCTTCCCTGAGCAATCCAGCCTTCAGTGCTTCAAAGGATAATGCCATTTTTCTCCAAGGTATCCCATTACAGAGCCATTCAAGGCAAATCCATCATGTTACAGAAGTGCACATTTCAGAGATCCACACACCTGGGCAATGCCCACGCAGAGAGAGGGAGAACAAACAGCCTCCAAATTGGACCTTGTTTGCCAAGTCATCTCTCATCACCGACCTCAGCAAGCTTTTCTCCCACCACCACTGTTTTTTCTGCCACTACACTGAATGAGTTGTAGTATCTTCCTGGTGTGTATTGCCTTCCTCTGGCCACCATCCAGTGTTTGCCCCACGAGTTCCCTGTCTCTCTCCAAGAAGCTGTCACAAATGGAGCCACAATAAATGTAATACACAGACCACAGCTTTCCAGAGAGCTGGCAGGCTCAGCCAGCAGTGATAAAAGATCAATGAGAATTTCAATTGTTGTTTTAAATGCCTGTTGGGCTGCAAGTTCCCTACCTTTGATCACCAACCACACACAGTGGGTTGGTTTTTTCTTTATTTAATTTGTATGCACAAGGATGGATGAGAGGTTTAGGGTTCCACAGTAATGAGGGCAATAGAAACAAAAAAATGCTGCCCATGGAGTCCTTCCCCCAATGATAGACAGGCTAAACTGGAAATAAAGACAAGGAACAGGCATGGACTAAGCAGGTCCCTCCATGAACCTTACAAAGAGAACCTCTACTGAACAAAAGAAACACAAATGCCATTTCCTCCAGGTTTCTTTGCATTTAGGACAATTCTTTTCCTTCAATATCCATCAACAGAAAGGAGTTAAACTGAATTTTGTCAGTCCAGAGCCTGCAAGTGTATTGTGCTAGTGCAAGGACCAGATCCCCCCAGTGTAGCACATGGACGTGGGCAAATGCCAGCTGGTGCAGGGCTAGCCTGGCTTGTGCCAGCTGAGGCTGTGACCCCTTCTCTCCAGCTGCAGCTGGCATTTCCCAGCCTCCTGCTGGCATTCACTCTCAGTGGGCAGCAAAAGCTTCTGCAGCGCTGTTGTGATGGGAACTCACTATCAGAGGATGAAAAACAGTTTGCAGCCAACTGTAATATCATTTCAGCAAACAGCACGATAAATCAATGGCTGTAAATTAAGCATTTTGTTTACTCTCCACACAGCAAGGCTCTTCCCTGGATGCAATGCCAGCATCAGTGAGCACTGCCCAGAGTAGCTGCCTGGCACACTGAGATTGTGAGGGAGCTGTGCCACCCTCAAGGCACTGTGACATGGGGACATCCACCCATGGCACTGCTCTGCTCCTGCTCCTGGCAATTAGCCCTTTGCTGATGCCATGTGCACGTTTCAGTGATGGCTGGAAGGCTCCCAGGGACACTGATAAGTCTGTCCCTTCTCTTCCTCCCTCCAGCTGCCTTTGGGAGGGCACAGGAAAGCACATGAGATCCCCATGAATGCAGCAGTGGGGCAAGCAGAAAGGTAAAGGGGGACCAGCTTCTGCCATCGAGTCCTGGCTCACTTGCTGTCTTTGCTTGTGACAGACAAGAAACTCTCTCATCACCACCCACACACAGTGGGTTGGTTTTTTCTGTATTTAATTTGCATGCACAAGGGTTGATGAGAGGTTTAGATTCCACAGTGATGAGGGCACTAGAAACAAAAAATGCTGCCCATGTTAAAACCTGTTAGAAGGAGAGGGGATGCTCCAAGTGTGAAAGACAGGAGAAACAGAGGCTGCATCTCCCACTGCCTCCACACTCAGCTGCCAGTGGCACAGTGGTTGGCATGAGGCATTCCCTCCCCAGGGAAGGATTCCCCCCTGCAACATCCACCCCCAACATGCCTAATGCTGGTACCCGTGAGCCCGACCCTCCCGCTGGGGCTGCCACAGACCCTCTGTCTGCAGAGAGGGATCACACCCTGCCCACTCCCCATCCAAACACCTCACCCTCTTCAGCCCACATTGATGCTTCCCCTCTCTCCCAGCCCCACAATGTGTGAGAGACAGGACCTTTATTGGCACTTTTTATGATTTCCTGGCAATGTGTATATGTCTCCCTTCTGGCACTTTAGAGCAGAGGTGAGACTTGAGCTCCTATAAACCACCAACTCCAGGAAGTCAAACAAGTCCCTCTCCCCACATAAACAGTGCAGAATAAGCAGAGCAGTAATTCACCCATGCTTTCAGGGATTCCCCCCTACCTTTCCTTTCATCTGAGCTGCCACTCTCCCTCTCCCTTGCAGTGCCCCACTCCTCCTTGTGCTGCCTGTGCTATCCATGGCGTTTGCAAGCAGGCACTGGATGAAGGGAAAAGCATGCCAGGAGCTTTGCTACTGTTGTCCACCTCACAGTGTGTCTGTTCACAGTTTAACCATTACAGTCCCTGCTCTGGGGTCAGATGTGCCTTCAGCCACACGGGAGACACGTTGGGAAGATCTTACACAGCTGTTTCAAGCCAGAGCTTAGACTACTTGGGTATCAGGGACCTCAGAGGGCCACAGAGACACTGATGGACACAAACAGAGAGGCTCACAGTGGGACAGGCTGGGAGAGGAAACAGAAGCAGAAAAATGAGGAGGGGAAAAAAAATTCACACAGCAAACCACAACACCTTACACCTAACTAGGTGTACAGCATTTAATACAGCCCTGAGAGCCTGGCCAAAAATCAGCACATGACCATATCCTGCTCTCATTAGGGGTTGAAAGCCTGTAAAAGGAATTGTTTCTTCTGTTTCTGACCAATAGCTGGTCACCTCCTCCAAGAAATGAGCAAAAAGCTGTTTGCTGGTAGCTCAGCCATGCAGCTCCTTCTCTCCACTCAGGACACAGCTGCATTTATTTGTAGTTAGCACAGTGGCTGCAGCCCCCCTGGGATTTGGGACGTTACGTGTGTGAATGACAGCAATATTTCAGAGGGTGACAGTGATAGCCAATATAGACTGTTGAGCTCCCTGTGAGGAAATATTATGAAGCCCATAAAAGCTGCAAAGGACTTTGCAATTGCCATCAATTTAATGGGGAAAATGCTGCAATGATGGGCAACAGGCAAAAACCTGAAAAGAGATTTTCCAACTGAGACGGGAGGGAAATGGAGCACCTTGGGTAAAGATCACAGGAAGAAAGGACCAGAGCTTAGAATTGAGCACTAATTCCTGCATATCAAGTCATAGCCACAGGCTATAACATGATAAGATATCCAAGAGAATTCATTCAATAACTTACTGTGAGAGGGTTTTTTTTGTTACTTTTTTTTTCCCTGTGGACCAATGAAAATTGATTACTGTATAATTATTTGTGAACACAACTTTCCCACATTTTCAGCCAGCTCCAGGAAAGTGAGAAAGCTATATTTACTCTGGTTCAAGTGCTTTGACTCTCAGCAGATCAAGTGCAGCATAAATCCCCAAGCCTCCCAAAGAGAGCTTGTGGACCACTCTGAACTCATCAACCCCTCTGCAACGTTAGTCCTGGACTGCCCCTCACATCCCAGGCCTGGACACACCACTCCATGCAAGCTGGGAAAACAGCTGGGAGCCTCCAAGCCTTTGCTCATCTCTCAGATAATGCTTTCATTTCAGTGAGGTGGGTACAGGTACCCTGGGATGAATTCAACTGTAAATATTCAGAGTGATTCATTGTTTGGCTTTCCTCTCCAATCTAAATAGTTGGAGCTGTCAAAATTGATCTGAGTTTTTATGGTACAATACTTTAGAGGGAGAACAAACTGTGGATTAAATTTGCTGTTGTGGCCCAAAATAGCTTTCAAATATCAACACAGGCAAGATACACATAAAAGAGACTATTTCCTTGTGAAGCAAGGCAAGCCCTCACATCTCCATTTAACTGTTTCTCCCTGGAGATTCACAGCACTATGCTGAGAGTTTGAGCTGCCTCCTTCTTCCCTTCCCCATCACTGGGTTAACTGGGAGCTGTGTAAAAATCTCTTTTGTTCATAAAAAGTCCCTGCTTGGGCCCAGTAATCTGTCCAGGGTGGGAGCAGAGTTGAAAATAATAAGTGGTCCTTGCTTTCTTATCATATCGTTAATGTAGTGCTTATCAGAACAGCAGATTATTTCTGTTCAGTGGCTGTAACTGCTCTGACTATTTCTGTACTCTGCACCCTTCCAGTAAAGAATAAAAAGGAGCATGGATCATCTAGCCTTCAGGTTCAGGGACATTGATGGGTTTGCACACCCCTTGCAGGCACACAAGCATCCTTGCAGTGTCAGTGATCCTCTTTCCCCCTTCCAACAAAAGAGCCTGACTCTGCCTCCCCTCCATTGCAGGGAAGCTGCAGACACAAGAGACTGACAGCAGACTGGAGAGAAAAGGAAAAAAAACCCCACAGAAACAAGGAAAAAACCTGCTTACAAAAATAAAGAGCAGATAAAATCTTGTGTGGTAACTCCCAGATTGCTGAGGTCTGGAGTGCTGAGTCTCTGATTTTCTCCTGAGGCTGCCACAACACCTCCTGTAGGTGTTCCAGGGGGATATTGGCCTGTCCTGATCTCGTGGGGTGTGTCCTGAATCTTGGGGTTTAACCCTCAGACACTGCAGATGACAAAACACTGCCCCTGCCCAGGGTGGCATCAATAATTTGGTCTCCACCACCTTTCTTTGGTGTAATCCTCTCCCCATGGATACCTGCTCCAAACAGATTCCCCTCTGGATGCAGTTCTGCTAAAGGCAGCAGGATATGTTCTGTCACTTCATGATGAGAGAGGAGCACAGTGATGAAAGAAAATCCCTGTCCAGAGGGAAAACATTCTCAATTTAAAAAGACAGAAGAAGAAAACTATTTTTTTCCAGCTGGGAAAAATCCATGGGTGGTTTTCTAAATGTGAGCTACTGCTTGGGTGAGAAGCAGTCAAAAATACACGTGGGTATAGTTGTAATCCAAGGCAGTCCACATCCCTACTATGAGCACAGCAACATTCCAATTACACCAAATGCTAGAGGAAAAGATAACATTTTCTTTTGTTGGTTTCACTTAAAAAAAAAAAACTAAACAAAACAAACAAAAAGACCAGAACAAGGCAGTTTCTTGAAAGAAGGCCAGCTTTCACAGGAGGCACTTCCAGCATTTCATGCAAAAATTATCAAGCAAGCCACTGTGAGGCGATATTATATTGAAAAAGTACAAATTAAAAAAATAAAAAAAGAAAATAAAGGACCAGCAAGTGAAATTTTATGGAAGGGAAATTAAGAACTCTTCACTCAAATATACCACTGTTATCAGCTCAGGGACTGTGCATAAGCAAAAAGGGACACAAGAAAAGAAAAATCTAAAGGACACTCCAGTTTCTACAACAATTTTTCATTGTTCTGTTTGGATGTCTCCTAGCAAAGCTTTTTCTTTTTTGGGGGGCAGCAATATGAAAGTTGTCAAATGTGTGTTTTGACTTTTAATGCAATAATTAAGCTCATGTTGGGGTCACAGACTCCCCTGTGTGACTTATGTACTTGGTTAAAACAAGCGAGCCTTTAAATCAGGTGCTCCCACAAAGGTCAGGGCAGAGGCCAAGGCACATTCCTTGGCTGGAAGACCAGCAGGGATTGTTTCAAGGTAAATAGATAAAGCAATTAATGTTCATTAGAGATTGGAGATTTAAGATAAATTGTCCTTCACCCAAGACACAACCACATTGCAGGTCAGACCAAGAATCACCTGTGCAGCCAAAGTGATTGACTAAATTTTGGGCATGGGAGCAAAAGACAAAGCAGAAGAGCGTGGTGACAAGAGGGAAAACAGTGGCCCAAGAAAGAGCTCTTCAGGCCAGCTGTTGGCTGGCAGAGGCCTGGAGCCATGAGCAGGGAAACACTTCCTAGTTTAAAACTGGATAGAACAGAGAAAAAAGGGGACTTGGTGCATCCCTGCTAAAAACCACTTGTGGTGGTGACCATCCCCAGACTTCCTCCCAGTGGGCAGGACAAGCTCTAACAAGAGGAGGTGTTGCACATCCAGGGTCTTTGCATCCATGTGGCAGTGTAACTGTGCCTCAGTTTCCCACACACAGGGCCAGCCTTGGCTTTGTCTGGCTGCTCTCTGTGGCAGAGTCCCTTTCCCTGGGGGCCGTGGCACCCGATGCCCAGAGCAGGGAGGTGCCACAGTGCCACAGTAAATGAAGAGCACTGGGTGAGCTCCCTGCCCTGTGCCTACAGCAGTGCTTGTGACCACAGCCACGTGGACACCATGCTACGAGGAAGTTTTCAGGAGAAGAGACACATTTTTAACAAGAGCCCTGGAGGCAGGAGGAAGGGGCTGCTTCCCAAAGCAGCAGGCTCCTCTCCAGAAGCCCCGCTGCGTCCCGCTGGACTGCCAGCGGCAGACAATTAATAATGTAGTGGCTGTCTGCTCCTGCCAGGGACCCGGGGGAGGCAGGCCAGCAGCTGCCTGCTGCTCCATTATTGAACAGATCTGAGAACAAACGTAATCTGTTTTCCATTTACTCTTCAGGGATTACTGCATGCCGCCTTTGTCTAGAAACTGTCTCCACTTTGCAAGCCTTTTTCCATCCATTTGCACAGCCCTGGTCAGTCTCTGGCTTCAGAGGGGCTCCTGATTTCATGGCACATCTCCAGACCTCCGGACCTTCTAACTGAGCCAGGCTGCAAAATTAGACCGTGAATGACCAAGAACTGGGAGAGGAGGACCCAGGTTCACAGGTTTCCTCTGCAGAGCATGTGAAGAGTAGTTGAAGGTGTAAAATTTGGGGAAGGTTTGGAGATACAGTCTTACATTCTTTAGTTTAAAATTCAACCCAAAAGACATAGATTTGGATTTATCATTGGAGCAAGCCACCTCTCCTCAGTGTCAGCATCAGCTGACAGAAGATGGTTCCACACTTAGGACATGGCTCCAGGCAGACAGGGGCAGGTCTGTCACTTTACCTGCTCCTGTTTTGTTTGCCTTTGTTTCCAGTAGCAATAACAGTCACCAAGGAAAGAGGGACATTTGCCTTCTGATTTATCCAAGGCTACAAGCTGTAGCAGAGGTTCTCCAACAATTCTCAGATCACAACTGCAAAGTAAATCCCATCTCTACATGTATCACAGAGGCCTGAGGGAAGAAGAGAGGATCTACCAGGATTCCTCTGAAGTGGCTCAGCCTGTATCTCTGGCACCAAGAACAAGAATCATCTTCCCAGCAGATCATCTTCATCTGGATCCCCGGGGCTGTCCCACTGCAGAGCAGTGCAACTCCTGCAGTTTATGAACAAGGCTGGTCAGAGCAAGGCTCTGGTTTGTTATTGCACTAAGGACAGATGGATGATAAGGGTAGCTAATCCCTGATCACCATCCAAAAGCTTTTCTGCAAGATCTGGAGCAGAAATATAAAATTTCTATTCCCCAGGCTATTTCTACACAGTTGCCATTTGCATCTGTCAGCAGGTGGCACTGGAAAGAGAATCTCAGCTCTGCTGCCGCAGGCAAGGAGACCATGGATGATTCCTGCAGATATGAGCTTTTCTGAAAGCTATCTGCAACTTTTGGGTTCACTGTTTTTGCCTTAGTCCCTCCAGCACTCAGTATTCCTTTTCTACATGAAGTAACAGCTTAAAGTGCTGTCATAAGCTAACAGACAAATCTTAATGGGTCTGCACATCACCGCCCAACCTGCAGGCAAATGTTCCTCTGCATGGAGGTAGGGCTATGAAAGGAAGGACACCCTGTGGAGTATCACTGGCACTTCTCACACCAGTTAATCCTTCCTCTGCAGAGAGATGAAAATCTGGGAGGAGAGGAAAAAGAAGAACAAGAAGAGAATCAAGCGAAGAAAAATAGATGAAGTCTGCTAGTGATGCAAGATGTGCTGGCAAGTGGGCAGCCAACTTCTCTCTGCTTGAGAAAAGACACGTTACCACAGGCTGAGACCTCAAGAACTTGGCTGCTGTACCTGGTAAGCAGACATTCACTTTCCTGAGTTACCTGGCTTCCCTGCAATCACTGCTGCTGCCAGCATTTCACTAACTAGAGAGTTAAGCCCCACCTAAGGACATGCTGCCCAAAACAGGACCCCAGCGTTACCATAACGTGCTGTTATCTTCAGGTCTGACCTCAGAGCTGAAGGGGTCAGAGATGCTTGTTTGCCAACAAGATATGAGACCATTTGAGAGCCACTCGAAGAGGCTTCCTAAAGTCCAGGACTGAGAACAAAAGACCTTTTGGTACAAATCCTTGACAACACTAAAGTGTATTAACCCATGGCACATAAATCCTTTGAACAGCATGAAGAAACCATTTAGCAAAACCCATGAAATCCATATAAAAATCATACTTGCAGAGCAGGAAAGGGGTGGAGGAAACATACAGTGCTTTCTAAATGTCTGGCTGAGGAGGAAATGTTTGCAGAAAGAGTGCAAAGATCCCAAGGAATCCATTAAATTCAGCATCACCACAATGCACTGCCAGTGGGGAAGGCCTCATCACTCTCAAATCAGAGCCTCCAACCCAAAGCACAGAGCTGCTTCCCTGAGATTTGTACCTGGAGAGGATAGGCAGTACTTCCTTTCAGAGACACTTGCTGTCTACAACCTCTTGCTCTGACACAAGAGGATATTTGATGTCCACATGCACTGCACTGAACCAGAACACACTCCCATCTCAGCATCTTGAAATAATTGAGAGTCCTTGGAGCCAAACGCAGAAGTGGCTTAGCAGCTGTAAGGCAGCAGCACTTTGTTCCCATGCTGTGTGCTCATAGGGAGGCCTCAAAACTCTTTGAGAACATCACAGTGTTATAAGGGCCTTGCTGGAGCCATTATTAAACTCATTTAGCTGGTGTGTCAATGGAGGCCCAGACAGGATAAACAATCTGTCTGCTGAAAACTGATCACTTCTGAAATGGCAGCCCAAAACGATTAAAACACTCATTTTCTTTACATATCCCAAACATTTTTCCATTTCACTGGTGAGGCAAGGGGACATTATTGCAGATGTTTCCCTCCCCACTCTAATTCACTCTTCATCCCTGTCTGTTTTGAGACAGCAGAGGCAAAAGGGTTACCGTGTGTGGGGAAGGAAGCACCTCCTTCCCCTTTTGGGTGGCTCAGCACACCATGGCTGCTTTTACTTCTGTGCTCCTGCACAAATGCAGTCACAACTGGAAATCTCCACCCTGGACCAACAATTGCCGTGGGCACACCAGTCAGTAGCATAACAACAGGTTTGGGTAAGCAGGAGTGTTTGCCACACACCAAAGTGCCTGGCTGGCCAGGCTGGATACACAGAAGTAATGGGAAAATGGAGCCATCCTTCTGCCACATTAAAGACATTGATCAATGAAAATGCTGCATTGAACAGCCTAATAGCATTGTTAAAAGAT